TCGGCATTATTAGTTTTTATTTACCTAGTAGTATTAGTTTGAACTATTACTTTAGCGAGGATTGATAGGCACACTGATTTAGTTAGGATTTTAGTTAGTACCATTGATATACATAGAAATGTTAGTCACTGATTTCCATAGAAATGTTAGTTTAAGTAATAAATTTAAAGAGGATTGCTAGTTAGGACCATTGATTTATTGGTGTTTGTTACTGCTATTAACTCTTCAAGGGTTGTTAAAGTTATTTATTTAGCCACATTTGTTAGCAAGAATTGTTTGTTAGCGCTGCTGATTTAGTTTGGATTGTTGTTAAGTCAATTAGTTAAGCTAGGATTGTTAGCCTTTTATTTTAACTAGGATTACTAGGGCCATTAACTTCACTAGAATTGTTAATATGAGTTTATTATCCAGGTTGTAGCGTCCCTTCCGAGGGTAGTGTTGTGGTTTGTTGTGCCACTCCACCAGGAGCGGAGCGATGTCTTTCTACCCCACTACTGCGACATCAGCAATCACCTTCAGCTGCCTCTCCTGAATGACGTAGGTTAAGGTTGTGGGAACGTTGGAGGTGATTACCTCAAAGGAATTACACAGTTATATCTACGTTAGGGGTGTCCACTGAATGTCGAACTTGACGAGCGACTGGGGAGAAAGAAATAAGATATAATTGTCTAAAAACTGGCAAAGAAGAGTTATGGCTAGGCCATATGACATGGTCTTATTTTCTTTTCTTTTTTCTTTGGTTAGGCCTGAAAATTAATGGTAAGAATCGGGAGGGAAAGGATTGGGGTAGGGCAGAGCAGTAAAAAAAAAAGGGGGTGTGGGTAGACAGGAAGAGACAGACAAGGAAGGTTAAGTGGCCTAACCACTCTAAGTGCATTTTAAGAGTTGTTTCCGTCACAATGTGACGAGTGTCTTGGTCACCTTTTAGTCCATACAATGTTATTAGCGTCTCTGCAGATTGGATACTATTTTTGTGATTTTTCAGTATTTGAGTGGGTGTCCAAACTCCAGCAGTTGTGAACCTGTTAAGAGGGTTGTTAATATTATTTTTCTTAATTAAGTATATACCTGCTGTAAAGACTGTGGAAAGAAAATCGCGGTCGTCAGAAATGAGTTTGGTTACGTTACACGTATTTCGGCGTCGACCGCGGGCAGGATTTTTTTTTTTTTACTTTGGTGATGGGTAGGTTTTGAAGTTCGAGTTCAATGCGAATATCCATAGTCCATTCCATAAATGGTTCATGTTGCACTGTCGGGAATGAGAGGATCACAATTTCGCAACAAGAGCCGAGGGAGGTGTGTGGGCTTATTGTCACACTGGTTTTGCCATTGGTTAGTAGTCGTAATAGCGTATCGGCCAGAAAACCGTCATCGAGGCAGACAACTCGCGTCCCAGTCTTCAAATTATGGAAAGGAGATTTGTAGACCAACTGAGGTCAAGTTCTCGAGCAATTTATTGCTCAGCTAACCCCTTCCAAATGCGCCGCCCTTCTAACGTAGCGCTGTATTACCTTTTCAATATAATAATAATAATAATAATAATAATAATAATAATAATAATAATAATAATAATAGAAGAAGAAGAAGAAGAAGAAGAAGAAGAAGAAGAATTGGATCAAGATTCCTTCATCAGCATCTAGGCATCCCCTCCCTATCCTTAAACTTACAATGTTCACCAGGAAAGGTCTTAATTTTTCTATGACCCGTATAAGTTTGTTATAATTGTTAGAATATTCATCATGACAAGAGACCTGACACGGGTCTTAATTCTTCGGGGACCCGTTTGTTTCTGTTATAAAGTTTGTTAAGGTTTGTCAGAAAACAGGACAAGTGTTTGTAGATGAATGGTTCAGAGAACCGACATGTTGATAAATTAGACACATGTGCAACTCCTGGGTATCTTTATTGAGGAAACGTTTCGCCACACAGTGGCTTCATCAGTCCATACGTAGGAGAAACTTGAAGAACAGGAGGAGAATGAGGTAATCAGTCCCTCAACCTTGAGTCGATGTGTTCAGTCCATCAATCTTGAATAGATTGATGGACTGAACACATCGACTCAAGGTTGAGGGACTGATTACCTCATTCTCCTCCTGTTCTTCAAGTTTCTCCTACGTATGGACTGATGAAGCCACTGTGTGGCGAAACGTTTCCTCAATAAAGATACCCAAGAGTTGCACATGTGTCTAATTTAAGGACAAGTGTTTACTGACGGCACTGGAGCTTTTGGTAATCTGACCGAGGGGCTGTACTCATTAGCATATTCCTGATCTGATGGCCACGTCCTTGGAAACAATAATTTACAAAGGACCCTTAATGATCTACCGTAGAAATGCTAATCATCCAGCCATAACTATCTGCACATTTTCTGTTAATTAGATTGCACCAATTAAATTTACTCATTAAAAATTAACATCAATCAAAATATAATTTAGCTTTCAGCAACTCTCGAGAAATTACTAAGCATAAAACAGGTAAAAAATGAACATTTATTTAGTAACTGTGTAGAGGCTAGGATACTGGATCTCATGTAAGAAATGATTGCTCTGAGGAACGGTCAGGTGGTGTGTAATTTTGATATTAGTCAGATAAATGCACACCTCCGCTCCCTCTGTGTTCAAGATGCCGATGCCATCCTAAGACAAACTATCCTCCCTACTGAAGAAGTGGTTGGGGAACTATTATTTAATGAGCTTTCCCCACTAGGCATGAAGACGTCGAGACCTTGCATGTGTTTAAGGCCAACCACAGTACCCTGCAGAAAGAAAGACCTGTTATTATTATTTTTTTTTTATTCGCCGGTACTCTCCCGGGCCGGGTCTTTTCCAAGTAGTGGTGACCCGGCCTTGGCTCCATATCTGGGGAGTATCTCGAGACTAAGTCTCTCATGGGAGGAGGTACAAGTATTCCCTCATCTTTGGGACCAACTGTCCCCAGGCCTAGCCACAGTCCCCGCCCTCACGGGACTCGTAGGGAGAAGCTAGGCCTATGGTCTGCCATCTGCCCCGCCCCGAAGGGGCTCGTGGGGATGGCAGTCTTATGAGCTGCAGGTGATAGCAAGCTCAGGCCTTTTTATTATCATTATTATTATTATTATTATTATTACTTATTATTATATTAAAATGAAAATATGAGCTCAGCTAGCATTAACATCAAGAGAAGGCAACGAATAAAAATTATGTATCTATAACAACGTATGCTTGATAGTCAAGATCGTACCAAATTTGGCTGTGAGAACCACATTGCAGGACTATCTACACACTTTAGGCTCTCGCAAAATAAAGAACAGTACCTGCCGGTTCCTCTCCCTTCCCCATCCCACTTATTGAGCCCTCCAAGGTGGTGTAAGCGCATTCCGAAACTGAGAATTTAAAAAATTAGAAACTCATGACGATAATAATCCCGTTACAACCACCTGGTGATGACTGTGTGGTTAAAAGGAGTTTGAGACAGTTGGGACACTCCTAACAACTGAAAAATTTTCAATTGAGTTAAAACCATTCTATGAACGACGTATAATCCTGTTAAACATCCACCTGTTTGACTTGTTTTTAAATATTAGCGATATGAACACCAATAAGATTGCGTAGACACACCTACACTACCACCTTTCAACACAGTTATTGAGTCATAAAACTATTTTTCTTCTAATGCTTTTACTGAGCATCGTCCATCAGTCAAACAGTATAAGATCGATTGAAATACTATTTCGATTTTTTTAAAAACATCATTTACGCGATCATGAATCATACTTAGCGAATAAGATCTCGCATAACACACACAATACGACAGTCCAAACCACATCAGCTATTTTGCGAGGACCACACGTTATTGACTCAGTGCAAAATATCTCCTCTCCTTCCTAAGCTGCTGTTTTTAAGTAGTCTGTTCCTCATCAGTCCAAAACAGGTAAGATGTATTATTGAAATAAGTATTTGCAGTTTTATTCGTCAGGAAAGAGGACAAGTCTTTCCTGAGACGAGTCTTACTGGTTGAAGTCAGTAGCTTTTGTTGTAATAATATTCGTCAGGACTGAGTACCTACTCGGGTCCCAATCTGTCGACGACCCATTTTGATTTATCTGAAGTCAGTGACGGCCCTCCTAAACCTTTGTGGGTGACTGTAAAACTGAAGTTACACAACTGATAATACTTATGGCCGGGTGTTCGCGTGGCCTCCCGATTTTCCTTACCAGCCTTTCTGCCATTTACGTCATTCAATTAATTGGTGAGGACGATTCTACCGGAATATCCAGCAAAGCATCAGTCACCACCTAAACCACTTACTTTAGCTTAGAAGCAATATCCCGAGCGGGACTCAGTTACTAAAAAGAACGGCTTAATAGTACAAAATCAAGCCTTACAATAATACACGTTGGAAATAGTTGTTACAACTGGCATTCATTTTAAAGTCGATCAAACATAAATAACGCAGTGAGTACAGGTAAAATATGTCAAGAAACAGGACAGTTTTCCTCACGCGGGACTTAGTCATATGATGACCCATCACTGGAGCTTTTGGTCATCTGACCGAGGCCTTCCACTGGCTTACCGGTTCACCCCCTTTAAAAACTAAAACAAATTCCATTTTTTAGTACACTGAGTATATATATTTGATCTCTGTATATACAATTTTGTGCTGATGAATATCTGGAAAGATCTCTTAGTTGGAAGAAACACAATTTAAGGTGGTCATCGTAAAGCTAAATTATGATTTATTCGGTTTCAGCACTGGAAATATTAGCTTATAAATGTATATTGATGTAAACAGTAAAGTGTAATTTGCACCTGACCCTTTTATTTTGAAATTCCACAATAAGGACAAGCGTGTAAAAACGCTTAAAATGTTAATTGGAAAATTAGCCGTGTTACACTCTTAACACATATTATCACATCGGCTGTAAATGACTGAAAAATAAATATTTGAAAAAACATGCAGTATTGCCTAATATGTACATACCTTTTGGCTTAAGTCTTGTCGACATATTAGTATATTGATATATTTTTAATACATTTCCAACAGAATATAAATAGTATACAGTAAATATATTATTATCATATGTGGTTGCTACATTTACTGTTGCTTCTGTTTAGTTCTGGATTTAACACTTCATAATAACTATTCCAGATAGTGGCATGCTCTAAGGGAGACTATAACGTGCAGACGGAGCAGAGAAGCCAGATGTTCCACTGATATCTCCGCTAACAGTACCACTTGTGCCTCCAGTATTGCCAATACTAAGGCTACCATAGCCTTCAGTGCCTCCAACAATGCCACTGAGACCATAACCACTGCTACCAATAAGTTCACCGCCACCTTCAAAAGCAGTTTTAAGGGCAGACTGGAGATCGCCACCGCTTGGTAGAGTCGGGTTCTCTCCTTCAGCATAGTTGACAAAGTACACCTCGGGAGCTGGCTGCTCAGGTCCTGGTGCGTGAATAAGCTTATGGTCATGATGTGGCCGCTTGTTGAGCACATACACAACGTTCCTCTGTTGTGGTGGTGGTACCATGATTGGTTCTTGGTTTAGAAGCTCCTCAGGGAACTGAATGAGTAAAATATTGTCTTCAACTCTTGGTGGAGAACGTTTGGTCTTGGAGCTACGATCGGTGTTGCTGCAGGAACTTTGTACAAGAATAAGTTCCGGTTGACCTGAGGAGTTACACAGCTGCCATCCACATGCCGGACCTGTCTGTGTCCACAACTGACCACAGAGTGAGATGGACCAGAAAACTCAGAGCTACCAGAAAATGAGCGCATATCAACAGATACTAATCCACTGAAGGCGCCGCCACGGCCATGTCCAGAGGTATGTGGCAAGCTGTAGGTTGGCAGTAGGTCAGCCGTGGCTGCTGTGAATAGGGTCGTCAGTATCCGTGAAATAATTGCACATGTAAATAAACTAAAATCATCTTTTGTTGAGAACTGTAGTTAATTTCTTTACAAAAAAGTGTAAACATTTGACTCTTACAATACTCTAAAAAAAAAAATACTATCACTTGCATTTCAGTACACAATCATAAAATCAGTATCACAATCATAAAATGCCTCTTAATTTTGTGATTATACATTTAATAATAAAAAAATAAGAGTGACTGGAATAAGTATAGCTGATATATTATTAACTTCTCAGCTCATGCTTATTGCATTGACCTCATACATAATTTAAATGTTCCCTCAAAATTATTACTTACAGTTATTAAAGTTATCAGAAACGAGATGAAACCTATTAACATGTAAAGTAAAAGGACACAAGTGCAACTAATGTGACATTTTATTGTGGCAACGTTTCGCTCTCCAGGAGCTTTATCAAGCCATTACAAACAATACATGGACACAGAGGGTATATAAAGGCTCAGAGTGAGGTGCAACACTAGTGAGGTACCATTTCGATGTTCACTAGTGGTAGTAGTAGTAGTAGTAGTGACAAAAGTAATGTGCTCATTAATGAACACATTTACGCATGTAGGAACGATAACTTGAACAACGCCTGTGTACAACACCGAAATTCCACCAATCATCTCATGAAATTCAGAGACGCCCAATTAGTGATCAAAGAAACTAATTTCCCCAGACGCAAGTGCCTCGAATCAACACTGATCGCTGTTTCGAATACAATTCAACAAAACAACGGCAGCTTCACCATATCTGAAGTCTTAGCAAGAATCCTCCTGAAAACAGTAAACTCTGCCATCACATAGTCTCTCCTGTTATACTACACAAAGCACATTGCAAGAGAGTGAACACTGAAACAAGCTGCCTCTTTCCAGTCTATATTTGTCCAACCTATTTTTATGTTACCCAAGTAATAGCTTTTATATCCTTTTACTCATGTACGAATTAATTGCTCTACAATATTGTATTACTTTTGTCACTACTACTACTACTACTACTACTACTACTACTACTACTACATTATACTACTACTACTACCACTAGTGAACATCGAAATGGTACCTCACTAGTATTGCACCTCACTCTGAGCCTTTATATACCCTCTGTGTCCATGTACCCACACAGAAGTCACAGGAACAGTGGACAGTGTTGAGACAATCGTATTACGACAATCCATTAACACACTCTCAGTTCACGGATTTCACTACCTTATCACAAGATAGGCACATGGCTTCTGCCGAAAAGAAGAGGTCACGATGCTCCATGAACACGACGGAGGACTCAGATTTGGAAATGTGGGGCGAAATTCTAGCGAAGAAGTTGCGAGAGGAAGAGGAAGCTCCTGCTCACATTGTAGCAGATCTGACAGTCCCAACCATGGAGCCAGCGACAATAGAAACAGGTGCGGAAATAAACACCCCACCCCACGAAAATTAAGAGGGATGGAACACTGTGGACAAGAAGAAGCGCCATCCGTCCAAGGAGCAGGCAAACCAGCTCAACCGACCTGGCAAATTCAGGTGAAGTCTTACGGGGACCACAGAACCCACTATGGGGTTGTTTCATACCTGGAATCACGACACAACCTGAAGTTCAAGATATGGTTCAACTTGAGGGGAGAACCAATATTGACTCCTCTCAACAAGGAAATGTATACCACCTTGAAGAGAGTCATGGAGACAGATCGCTCATTCACCCTGGAGGAACTGGACTCTCGGCAGAAGATCACCAAGGTGTAGTGATGCGATACCCGCTGATGATGCCCATCGAGGCAGTATCAGCTCACCCAGTGTGGTGTCAGCTCAACGTCTCAAGGCAAAGACGGCAGGCAATGCACCAACCCGACAGGTCCTCATTCAGCATGTAGGACCACTGCCATCCCAGCTGGACCTCGGTTCTTGGGGCAGGTACGATGTCAGGACCTTCACAGCAGAACCAGTTCGCTGTTTCAAGTGTCAGCGTTATGGACACCTGGGTGCACTCTGTCCAAACAGAGTAATCTGCGGTGTCTGCAGCCAGCACCACCCTACCGAGGAATGCATCACCAAGCTGAAAAATGCATCGCCACCCACTCCACAATGCCCGAACTGCAGGCAGAAACACCATGCCTGGAATCCTCGATGCCCCGAGAGGCTCGCCAGAATTCAAGAAGTCTGGAAGACGCCAAAAACTCGGCAACAGGCTACGACGGATCATCACTCTCAGCAAACGATGGGTGCAGAGAACCCTGCCATACCGCAGATCTCTCAGCAGCTAACCCAAGTCAATGCCCAGGAATTCCCAACCCTAGAAGCCTCAACCAGGCGTCAAGGTCAAGAACCTCCTGCACCCCTACATCAACAAAGAAACAGAAACAAGAGGAACAGGAGGCGTCAACAGGGTGCATCTGGTCAATGCGATCAGCAGGCGGCACTAAACGAGCCCCCACCCACCGGCTATTGCACGACAACGCAGGCACTCCTTACCCGGCACAGGCACTTTGCAGACTCAACTGGCACCTCACCAGGAGTTCCCGGCTACCCAACCTGGTATACAGCAACAAACCACGGTGCATACAATAAAGAAATCCAACCCTCAGCAGTCCCTACAGACCACAACAACCCAGATAATATCCACTCTTTCGAACCCAACTCCAAAGCAGGCCCTCACCAGGGGATCTCGTAGCATTCATCAAGTGTTCACAGATCTTATTTGCAACACAATCAACTCCACGGAACAACAGAGCGCATTCCGGCAGATGGTCAGTACGCTCCTGAGAGTGTGCTTTCTGACCGAAGAGGAGACAGTGGATGCCATGAATTTGCAGGTTCTCAGAGCGGGCAGGACTCAGTCTCCAGCTCAGGAAACATCGATGGAATAACCTCGGTACCAAATCACACCCTCAAGGTCCTACAGTGGAACATTCAGGGCCTGAGGGGCAAACAGCACCTCCTGCTGGAGGCAGTAATTCGGGATCGGGTTGATATCGTCTTGCTACAAGAAACTCTGACTGTCCCGACTATGTGCCAAGACTACCCGGTTTTGCTGGGTATTTTCGGCACACGGACCCGGGCATTCACTGCAGAGGCACAGCTGTATTTGTATCCAATACAATACCTCACGAGGTTATAGCCAACCCTGTGGACTGTGGGGAGGATGTCGAGGTACAGGCCATCCTTGTGCACATACCTGGGGCGCCCATTACCATCTATAACATCTACAAGAACCCAAGACACACCCTTGACATTGCAGAGCTCCTCGCACTAGCACGCACTGAGTGTATTATTGTGGGTGGAGATTTCAACGCACATCACCCAATGCTGCACTCTCACTCAGCAGCCAATGCTGCTGGCAGACACATAGCAATGCTCCTACACGATATTCCAGAGGTAAAGTTGCTAAACAATGGAGACCCCACACACCTGTTGGGTGGCTGCCTCGACCTTACCTTCGGGACAAGACAACTCGCAGCAGGAACCACATGGGAAACTCATCCTCACCTTGTCAGTGACCACTTTGCAGTGATCACCACCTTCAACATCAACAGGCCTCCCACAGTTGTGCTGCCTCCTAGATGGGACGTAAAGAGGGCCAACTGGAAGGTGTTCCAGGATTATCTTCATGACTGGTGGTCCACATACTCTCTATCTGAAGACTGTGATACAGCTGAACAGGAGCTAATCACTGTTCTCATCCAGGCAGCAGAGTGCGCAATTCCAAAGAAGTCCACAGGACGCACTCACAAAAGAGACTGGTGGTTCTACAACGACGAGGTGCGGGAGCAGAACCACCGCATCAACTCTTTTAGGAAGCTATACAGGCGTAACCCTACGGCAGAGAACAGGAATACTCTGAGAGCCATTGTGCAGCATGCCCGCAGAGTCTCTCTCAGAGTAAAAACTGAGAAATGGCTGGAGTGGTGCTCAACATTCGGGCATCACACCACCTTATCTGAGATATGGGGCAAACTCAACATAGCAAATGGCAAGAGCAAACCGAGGCCACCAGCACACCCGAACCCAACCCAGGAAGCTGAGAAACATGGAGCTTTTCACTTCCAGGGGAGCCTCCACTCAGCTCCCACAGGACATCTGGAATATACAGACTAATCTTCTGCCACAGCGCCAGCTAACGATACAAGCTGCATGTGAGTCGGAAGATGTGACTGATGAAGACCTCACAGACTTGGAACTCCGACGTGCCATTAAGAACACAGGTGACACTGCCCCGGGCATCGATGGTGTTACATACTCATGATTGCACGGGCTGGGCAGAGTGGATGGGAGGCCATACCAGACGTCATTAACAAGTCGTGGAAGGCCAGGACTCTCCCAGCAGCTTGGAAGAAAGCTACCATCGTACCAATTCCAAAGCCGAAGGACCCAGGCAGTATTGAGAACCCATATCGCTGACCCAGCTGCTTAGCCAAGATGCTGAGAGGATGGTGTTAAACCGCCTCCTATGGAAACTTGGACCCTCTCATCATCACATATTTGGCTTCACCAAAGGAGTGGGTACAGCAGAGTGCATAACCACTCTACTAAGCCAAGATTGCTGACAGTAACAAAAAACCTAGTATTGTCGTCTACCTCGACCTTGAAAAGGCATTTGAGTAGCCAGCCCCACAGCAATTCTGGCATACTAGCTCGGAAGGGAATCAAAGGACGCCTCCTGGCCTGGATAGAGTCCTACTAAGGGGCAGGCAGGCCTGTGTCAGCTTTCAGGGACACTACTCTTCCTTTAAATCCCTGAAAAACGGTACGCCACAAGGAGGTGTGCTCAGTCCTACCCTGTTTAACATCCTTATGCAGGAACTTGTGAGCCTTCCCTTTCATAGTGGTACACAGCTCCTCAGCTATGCTGATGATCTTGCACTCGTAGTGAATGGAAAGGCAATTAGAACGACAGGCTCAGAGAGCTTTGGACCTAATTACGCAGTCTTGCAAGGAACTAGGCCTCAAGATCTCGGCCGAGAAATCTCTTGCAATGATGTTCAAGGGACCAGATCCTGTGAATAGATTACGTATTCAGGATATAGAACTTGAGTGGAC